CAGCCGATAATGGAAGGCCACTCGGGCCATCTTCTCATCAAAGAAGACGGTAACACGTGGTCACGCTGTTATGGAACATTGCAGGGCCAATCTTTATCTCTGTATCTCGATACGGAAGAGGTGACATCGCGAAGGATCAGACGAATCGTTAAATGATGCAGGGACGTGTGTTGAAGCGGCTGATCGATGTTACGGGTGCTTCTGTCGATTCGATCCAAAAAGACGGAGATACTACGGATTGTCTAGTCGTCGTTGGTGCGGATGGATCTGAGATCCAGTTGGCCACCGAAGAACAAGATAAGGTAGAGTAGACGGCCGATTAGATTCAGATTAACGAACCATCTGATTCGAAATGCAGGCGATCTGGATGAGTTCTCTACGAGACGCCACCCAACGAGTCAACAGAAACATCATGCAACCGACAGACGAACATCCTCTCTCCCCAAAAAACGCCAGCGACGAAGACGATACAGATGTTCCAACGAAAGAGACGAAAGCGAACACGGATGAGAGGCAACATGTTTCCGATGCCAATGGACAACCACCCTTCGTAGTGCAAAACGATGAGAAGCCGCAGCTGGTGAGCTGTCTGTACTCTCCTTGCGATCGAAAGAATTGACGAGAACACAGGATGACCCCTCGCTGCAGCCTCTATCTCCCATGTCGAACCTACGCGTTGTCGACGAGTATTTACCGGAAAAACAGCATCGAAAATCAGTAGCGGGTGAGTCGCGTGAGAATGAAACACACTGACTCGTCTCAGCTCCCCTTCTGTTGGGTTCGAAGAGACCCGCAGGCATCAGAGCCTTATCTTCCTCACAATTATCTTCAAACAGTGAGCATCATTCATCATCACTTGCACATCATCCACACGTGGTCATAACGGTGTTCATGATCATCACGATGTCCATGATGCCGATCTCGCTGACATGTCAAAGGTAATCCTTCAGACTATCCCAAAATCATTCACCTACTGCGAGAAGACGAGAACACTTCCGTGCAAGTGACAGTCAACTCTGAAGAGGTAACGGTGGGCGATGTGGCTAGAAGTGTAGCCGGGGCCACGGTGGCTACGTATCAGACTTGGACACTGTACGTCAGGGACAACACATCCATGCAAGGTGAGGAGAGTCGATCGAATCATATTGACACACAACAGAGACGATGATTCTTCCCACAGAGAAGATGATCGATCTACAACACTACTGTGACGACAGACACGACACGTGAGGAGATGATCGATCTACAACGAGCCGAGAATTTTGGCGGGATTTCTCACGTGTACAGTGTCATTGTGGCGAGACCCTTCTTGACTACTGAGGCTCCCCTTCAATTGAAGGATGGATCCGTGGACATCGTAAAATCCTCGGAAACTCCGCGGAACGACGGGGTTTCCGCGCTGTCGATAGACCCCAGATGTCCCTGGGTGAGTCCAGAAATTTCGACGAAAGTTCTGACGATGATGAAGAATAAGGAAAAGTTGCTGTCTGGGGAGGCCACACTATTCTTTAGAAATCTGACGAGGTTGAGATTCAGCACACACAGAAACTACAACAGCGTGAACGGCACCCTCTACGTCACGAATTTTCGCCTGTTTTTCATCGACGAAGATCACCCCAGCGTGAGTCCGCACTCGTTGTAGATCGTCAACTGTTTTTCCGTTTCTCCGAAACGTCTGATCATTCTAACAGTCCATGGCTCAATCCATTCCTCTTTGCAACATCCGTGACGTGAGGAGGTACAAGAGGACTAAAAATAGCCGCGCCGAGCTACCGTCCAGCCTCAATGCCGTAGAGATCATCTGTAAGGACCTCAGGTCGTTGGTTATTTGCGCGGGAAAAGGTTCGACCGTGAGCGCCAAATTTGTCAGGGACATCATCGATGCGATCCCAGCCTGCCAGGAGAAATTGTTTGCCTTTCACTGGAAACACAAATTCGAGGGGAGAGGGTGGTCCGTCTACAACGCGACCGAGGTGATTTTGGCGGGAGATTTGAAAATTGAAATCGGACAGGAGTACAAACGGTTGGGACTACCGAACGGTAAATGGAGGATCACACGAGTCAACGAAGAGTTCAAGATGTCAGCCAGTTACCCTCCACTGCTCGTGGTACCCGCCTCAGTGACTGACGAGGAACTGTTGAAGGTATATTTATCGTCTCGTTGTAGACGGCTGAAACAATCGCAGGTCGCAGAATTCAGATCGAGGGGGAGGATTCCGGCCTGCATCTGGCGGCACGCGAAGAACGGAGCCGCCCTATTACGCTGCAGCCAGCCTGGTACGGGTCTCAGGTGTGGAAAATTGGCGGGAAAAGTGAAATCTGATGGAAATCTCCAGGAGATCTCGCTGCGTCGAAGATGAGAAGCTGTTGGACCAAGCGACCGAACCTGAAACAGAACCAACACCCAATAGCCCCCGACTGGTCATGGAAGAGGTAGACAATTTTCCCGCCAAAATACTCACGGAATTTTCAGCCCACCCAGAGATCCCAGAGGGCCCAGACCATGGCAACGCCCAGCAGCCCCGGGCGTAAGAACACAAAAATCACGAGAAAAATGAGCATCGGTGTATCGAAAAAGTGGGCTCGTTGTAGATCGACAATCTCACTGAAATTTCGCAGAGAAATCAAACCGAAAGTGAAGAAGCCTCTTTACATCTCCGACTCCAGACCCAAAGTGAACGCCCAGGTACAATCATCTAGAAATTTCCCAAAATATTCACGGAAATTTCAGGTGAATGTTCTGAAGGGTTTCGGTTACGAGAACATGGAGATGTATTCGAATGCAACGCTCGAGTTCTGGAACATCGATAACATCCATGTCATGAGGTCATCTCTAAAGAAGGCAGCGAATGCTTGTCGCTACGAGTTTGATGCAACGGAATACAACAAGTCCCAATGGTCGGAACATATCAAGAGGGTGAGTCTGATGGGTCTTGATATTTTCGAGGAATGTGGCGGGAAAATTTCCCGCCGAAGTTCGGATTTTGAATTTCGAAAAGGTTATGGGCTGCAGTTTGAGGATTGCGGAGTTACTGGACAGCGAGGGGATAACGGTCTTGGCTCATTGTACGGACGGTTGGGATAGAACTGCGTGAGATTTCAACTTACGTACACTTCGAGTTGAAATTTCACAGGCAGAACGTTGCTCTGGCCGAGCTATTATTGGATCCTTACTACCGCAGTTTGGATGGCTTCATTGTTCTAGTCGAGAAAGAGTTTCTCAGCTTCGGACACAAGGTTCGAATTTCAAACCACCCGCCGAATTTTCGGCGGGAAATTTTGGCGGGAAACTGAACCTTGCAGGCGGCGATTCGCATCGGTCACGACAGCGACAATATTTATTCACCCAAAGACAAAGAGAGGTCTCCCATATTCCTCCAGGTATTTCTTTCGTCTACAACGTTGTAGAAGGTCCCCTCACCTCCATACAGTTCCTCGACTGCGTCTGGCAAGTGTTAAGACAGCTTCCAAATTATTTCGAATTTAAAGAAGAGCTGCTCGTTTGCATGAGCGATCACACACAGTCTTGTCTCTTCGGTGAGAAAAATGCCTCGTTGTAGATTGACTCTCCAGGAACATTTCTCTGCAATAACGAGGCGGAGAGGAAGAACGAGAAAATTCCCGAAAAAACGGCTTCCCTGTGGGATTTCATCCACTACAACCGGCCACATTTCGTCAACCCTTCTTACGCAGTGAGACAGAACCTCATGCGAAAGATCTGATCTCATCAGCCGGTGGCCACGTCTGTGTATCCTCTTTATACCAAGTTCAACGTTTCAGAGGTGAAGCCGTGGCTGAGCGTGTATGGGAGGTGGTGCAGAGGAGCTACGGGAGAAGAATACGTGAGATGTGATCTCACGATCGACAACGGAAAGATGGAGGAATAGATGAGATGGAAGATGTCGATCATGTGGTAGATGAGGTCGTCGTCCTCTATAATAGAGAAGATGGTGTATGAAGAGATTCTGATCCTTGAATGGTGCGAGATGTGGAGATGGAAAAGATCGTGCACCAACTTCTTTCGAGTCGATCATCGCTGGACAGACGAGTACACCTTCCTTCACCGTTTTGTACAAATCCATCTTCATTCGACAATATCGTCAACAAGTGGCACCCCGAACTCTCTCACCGTGGGTTATTCTAAGGGGACATCGAATGATACCATCCAGATTGTCCAAATGTACCCATCATCTTGGTCGGAACGACAGACATTCGTGATGATAGAGACACCGTCGAGAGACTGAGAGAGAAGAATCAGTCATCGTCCCTTTGAGAAGCAATTTAATGTCAGAATCACACATCTTCATCAAGCGTAGAGCGCATGCATTCCGTTCTGGCCCTCTGTCTCTCTTCTCTGGTCGCTTCTTCCTCAGCCACCACTTTTAGGACAACCTATTTATCCTCCGACTGCACCTGACCATTCTCGGCCATCTCTGCGCCTTTGGGATGCATCCCTAATAGCGCGACCGGAGATCTCTATTTCCACGTCTCTCTCAGTGGTAACACCGTCACAGCCTTGGGTAATAAAAACTCTGCCTGCAGTGGAACGCCCCTGAATGGCTCCCTCACTTCCACTCTCGGTGCCTGTCTTTCGACAAATCAGACTCATGGTATCTCTATCAAGGCTTACATGGGGCCGACCTTTCAGCCCGCTCCAGGCCCTCACGATACCATATCTTTCAAACACGACCAGTTGTGTCGGTGTGGGACTTTCGTCTGTCTCATACAACACGTCTTGCACCCCCACACCATGCTCTGATACGGAATTCAACGGTTATAGCAGAACAATCTGTCTCAGCCAGGGAGAGGTTTACAATGCCGTAGACAGCTCGCTCTTCTGTGGGGAGCTAATTGCTGTTGCCTTCACAGCCTCGCATTATTAGTAGACCTCTGAATTGATGGAACAGATGCTTTGCGTTGAGGTTCCATTCGAATTTAGCTATATAAACATACGACATGTACAAGAAATACACAATTTGAAGTCTTAACAGCATCATCAGTCCATCATGGTGTAACGGTAACATCGCTCGCTTTCACCGAGCAGCCCCGGGTTCGACTCCCGGTGATGGAACTTTTGTCATTTCGACTATCGTGCATTCATTAAAAATCGATCTACCCTAATCCACTGCCGATCACAACCAGAACTTTTGTATTGATGTGTGTAAATGCGTTTTTCACAAAAAAATCGATCTGGCTGTCCTCGTATGTGTATTATGGAATGACGACGCGCCGTTGTCCCTCCTTCCTGGTGTACATAGTCAATCCTGAGACTACCATTCGTATGTGACTTGGTAAGACAGCAATTTACATGCAGAACTGATACACATTTCTCTCTGCCAGTGCGTCAGCGAAAACAAAAGTTCCATCACCGGGAGTCGAACCCGGGGCTGCTCGGTGAAAGCGAGCGATGTTACCGTTACACCATGATGGATTGTTGACTGTATGGACTGCAGATAATTATGATATCGTCAAGACGCGAGCAGTCAAGACCACAACATTTGTGCCGTCTATAATGCCCGGCTTCTGTAAATCGCTCCGCTCGTACAGATGATGAGCTCGTTTTCGATTGAAGGGCCATAGTCTGTACCTCACATCTCTGGGTATCAGCTGGAGTTGTTGTGAGCGTAACCAATTGATTGGAGCAATGGAATGTGCAGTACGCATTGCAGCCGATCTGGCTCCACCCAGATGAGAGTTTCGTGAAGATATCGACTGAAGGGTGTAGTATGCAGATGGATGTTCTGAACTCGTCGAATCTCAACGGATGTGTTGAGACCCACCAGACGTCTGTTGAACGTTTCGTGAGGTTTGTAACATGTAAATGTTGACACGGTTCAAGGACACCTCATCTAAGGCGGCACCTTAACACCTTGATCCGTGAGTCATCAGTATCTTTGCACACACAAATCATCCTCGTCAATTCGTTTCCAACGAATCATTCTCTCACAGACAGACAAAAGCAATGCAGTCCTTCCTCCTCCTTGCCCTCCTCTCTCTCTTCGCCGCCTCTCAGGCCGATGTCTTCATCATCACCACATACAACTCGAGTGATTGCACCTTCGCCTCCAAGTCTCAGTCTTACCCGACCGGCTGCCTCGGCGTCGGCCCCCTCTCGAACCAAAACTCCATCGATGGCAACACGGCCTCCGTCAAGTCTTTCCTCGGCAGCGGCTCATGCGGCGGTAATGCCGCCACCACCTTGAATTACACTCTCGGGGCCGTCTGCACTGCCCTCATCAACGGAGGAAACATCTACTACAAGGCCTACACTGGACGAACCGTCACGCCCGCCCCCGGCCCCAACGATCAGATCACAGAGAATTACTCCGGCTCTGGCTGCGGTGGAACTGGAAACGCAGTCATCACCTACAACACCGGATGCACTGCCAAGGACTGCGGTGCCGCCACCGTTGGATCTACGAGGGGTGTCTGTTTGACTCAGGGACAGGCTTACGCTACTCCCAATTCTTCCGGCCTCGCCGTCACCTTCAGCCTCGCCATCCTCGCTGTCGCCGCAGTCATCGTTCTCTTCTGAAGCACCGAATAGATCATCTCATCTTAACGTTTCTCTTCTGTAGATAGCATGCAGATATTTCGTGTCTGAGGAACGTGATGTGGCCTCAAGTGCCGATAATGAGAAGAGGACAATCACATCAGATGTTGATGTTCGAGTGGTGGAGTTATTGATAGAATTTGGACAGGATTAGTATTGTGGATGGCAGCAGCATCTTCACCGGCACGACTCGACCATTGAACATTTGGCTAATGTAGACAAAATGCTCATTGGTTGTCGAAGCATGCGACGATCAGCCATTAATTTCGAGATATACACTCTTGACTTAAGTACTTTCGGTGGAGTCTTCTACTCAGCCTGCAATGGACAGCCCATGGCAACCAACAGCCGCAGTGAGAAATACAATCCCCGCCATCATGAACGCGAGGCAACTATGCTGACGGCGCCATTCATTCGAATTTGGTCGGTTTCGTTAACGACTGGATTCCGCGGGAGTGCTGTGTCCGTTCATAGCTCAGAGTAGACACCAAGTAAAGCCAGACAGTTGAGAGTCAACTTAACTGCGTCCGGTTCATAATAGCAGGAATCGTGGTGTGTGGAACCATCAAGAGATGCACCAATTAAATCGTTCGGTGTGTGGCTCCACGTCTCGCGACATCTCTTCATCCAAATTCTACCACCTTACATTCGCAGAAAATATGCCTGAGGTGTTCCTTTTCCTACGTACTGCTTTCTTTATGATGAAGGAACGCGACGTGGCAGCGTCTTAATGACACGACTTTGGATAAGATCTACAGGCCACAATTCGTATCCATCGAATCATTCTCTCGCGGACAGACAAAAGCAATGCAGTCCTTCTTCCTCCTTGCCCTCCTCTCTCTCTTCGCCGCCTCTCAGGCCGACGTCTTCATCGTCACCACCTACAACTCCAGCAGCTGCACCTACGCTACCCAGTCTGATTCCTACCCCACCGGATGCTTCTCCAACGGACCGCAATCTTCGCAGGTAACCATCAGCGGCAACACCGGCAGCATCAAATCGTTCTCCGGTTCATCATGCAGTGGAACTGGTAGCGCCGGACCCTCCTACACTCTCAACTCCGTCTGCACATCCAAGGGCGATAACACGTACTACAAGGCGTACACTGGAAGAACTTTCACCCCCGCCCCCGGTCCCAACGATCAGATCACAGAGAACTACTCGGGCAAGAACTGCAGCGGTACCACATCTTCCACCATCGTCTACAACACGGCATGTAACGCAACCGCCTGCACTGTTGACCCCACTGGAACATCTTCGAAGGTGGTCTGCCTGGCTCAGGGACAAGCTTACTCCGCTTTCAGCTCTTCCGGTTTCACTGTGGCCTTCAGCTTCGGACTCATCGCCTTCGCTGCCGTCGTTACTTTCTTCTGAAGGATAGAGCGAATAGATCTCATCTCATGTTGACTGTTTCTCTTCTGTCGAGATCTTCACGGTTTTTTGTGTTCGTGATGCTGCACCACTTTCGGAAAGATACTACAACGAGGCGCTCGCATACGCGATGCGATCAGATACCAAGCCAGCAGGAGGCCATGACTGCCACCAGCGATCAGGTGAATGATATGCACAGGATATCTTCTTTTTTATTAAACGATGTACGATCGTTATGACACATGTATCAGTTTCGGGAGCTGCTGGAAAATGAAGAGACGGTAGACATGGTCAAGCTGATCGATATATCACGTCACGGTATCCCATCAAAAGTCAGAGGAGAAGTTTGGAAGTATCTTCTCGGTGTGACCAAGCCTGACAAAGGTGAGCCATCGGCTGACGACAGTTTATCTTCTATATAAATCAACTGCCTCCTCTAGATCCGACGATGCTAACGTTTATATCATCCATCTTCTCATATAGCCCAGTCGAGAAAGTGAAGAGGGAGAGAAACCAGACACAAGATTATAATAACATCGATAAGACGTGCAGTCCCGACATGATCAAATCCATAAAGAATCAGATCGCCCGAACCTTCTCCAAGTACGAATTCTTTCAGCGAGTGAGTCGTCATCACATTTCGAGAGATTTAAACGTCTTTATTCATCACTCACACTCTACAGCCCGAAGTTCAAACCCGCATCGTGGAGATCATCTCTGCTTACACAAACTACATGACTGATGTGGAGTACAGGTATTCACATTTGATGTTGTAGATCGCTGACCTCACCACCAGTCCTTACATGATCAGCATGATCGGACCGTTCGTCTACAGTCTAAAGAAAGATTCTGAAATCTTCTGGTGTTTTGAATATCTGATGAAGAAGATTGAGCAACATCTATCAGAAGATCCACTTCATGATAAAATGTCCAGGCTGATGATGTATGTCAGACTGGTCCATTCTGAGCTGTGAGTCCGACATCATCGTGACACATCACGATGGACATATAATGACACGCAATAGAGCCAATCATTTTGAAGAAGAGGAATTATCTCTCAACGATTGGTCGATGTCTTGGTTGAAGAATCTCCTGTCAAGAGTGAGCTCCTATTGCATTCTTCTCATGATCCACTGATCTGACGATGGTCAGGAGCTTCCGTTAGAATGTGTATTACGGCTATGGGATACTTACTTCTCAGACGGTTTCGACATGCACATCTATGTCTGTTTGGGTAACTCATCCATCTCATCCATCATCTCATATGACCAGCTGTCCTGTCCAATTGTGCGGAGGAATTACAAGAATTGGAGATCTCTGAATTGAAAGCCCTCTTACAACATCTCCCGGTGATGGACATGGATCTGGTGATTTCATCCGATCTCGCATGCACCATCTCATGCGAAACAGATCATATCACAAGCCGGAAATATACGCGACGAGATTCAAGTGAATAATCTATAGACGCCAGTGCAAACTCTTCTTCCACCTGCAGAACATCATCGATTGGTCGGTGCGTTAGGTGCCTAGCTGGCCAGCTATCAGGGGAGACGAATAAATGACCCCTGTCAACCTGAATGCCCTATACTTGCGCGGAAACCAGCAGCTTGGAACACGAACGAGCGTTGACATATGTTCTTTGTGTCTGCTTGATGGTTCACGTGGAGAGCACAGTCGATATAGAAGCAGGTCTGGACAAATACCCGCGCGATCATCACTTGTGCCCTTGCTTTCATTTTTTTCTTCGGTCGCGTGACACATCACACACAATCAGCCGATTAATATTCCAGAGAGAGGCCGGGAAGACTTTACTGCAGACCGACGAGATCAAATGGCCTCACAGATGCTGACTATATGTGTGGAGGGAAACGATGAGCCGTTGGGTTTCATAGAGATAACGAGCACCTCTACCTTGTCAGATGCTAGAGAATCGATTCTATCTGAACTGGAGGGACTTCCTGAGCATTTTCGTTTCGTAGTCCCCAGTCCAACGGGTAACATATCAATCACGGTATCGATAGAAGGTCTCATCATCCTCTACAGGTGCGATGATCAAGTTATCTCTAGTTCAAGAGACCAAGAGAGCTGCACACAGTTTCATGCCTCAGATCACCATTAGGGAGGTGCCTCCTGAAGGCCCTCAGGGC